TCCATGTTTCAGTCAAAAAAGCCGAAGTTTTATTAGCATGCAAGGCATTCTGCTAATGAACATGATTCTGCGGAGAATGATCCGTTCAAAAAAGGCTGCGTAAACTGTTAGATTCTTAGGCACGTGGTATTCATCTGTTAAATCTTGGAAAGATTGCCTGTGAAGACCATATTCATACAAACCGCTAAAGAAGCAGAACATCAATGGTCATGCGCTTGTCAAATCTGACAGATTTAAGCAAAATGTTTCGGATGTCAAAAGACTTAGGTACAGGCCACACACCTGGTTAGCTCACCAAGTTCTAAATCGGGTTTGTGGTGTAGCAATACCGTAATCAATAAAGTGACAAAAGGACATAAGTATGAGTAGCATTCAGTGTAAATAAAGGTTTCAAACCCTATCTAATCGTTAGATATTGAACCCATGACCCTTATAGCTGGGGTTAAAGTGTAGCTGTAAAGACTACAAAGGCCGTAAAGCCTAAAATCTCAAAATTTGTTGAACAATTGGATTGAAACTCGCAGTGACGAAGTAAATGGTCGGCTAAATAAAAATGGTCATATATTTGTAGGCTTTTGAATTTGGGCTAGCATATGGGAAGGTTTATACATTCAACATGCTTCAATTAAAGCATGTTTTTCTTTCAAAAAATGAATATTTTCTTGATTTATTTTGCTCGGGGTGATAGCACGATGGCATAATCAGCATCGTCCATATTCAACATCTTTCAGGTTTTTCTTATTTAGAAAATGATTTCGTTCCCCGCCAACGAGCACTAAATTGTATTGCTGCCCATCCAATAGAATTTTCTCTCCAGCACCCACCTGGTCATCTGCGACCTGCAGTGTAATCATTTTGTTCCAAAACGTCAAACATTGCAGTCAAAGGGCGTAAGCCAAAACATGCTGGGAGTTTTTCGGGTTGTGCAAAATCAGGCATATCCCTGAAGAATTTGGCTTGAGAAGCTCAAAAGCGTTCACTCAATCCACATTTGTGAATTTTCTCTGTCAACGGACTTCAAACCCCCAGGATTTTAGAGGACGACTGAAGATTACAATTAGCATATAAAAAATTTGGAGGAAGCAATTTCTATCATATATTGGGATATAATGCCCTAAGAGTCTAAACGGTTTACCTGGAAAATATCCCACTCTACTACATCTACGAAATCATCAGACAGTGCTGAATGCGAATGAAAATAATGTTTGTTTGATTGTACCGGATAACTTGAGCTTACGCATATGCAGTCTTTGGGCTCAGTTGCCTATATATGAGAGGTTCTCTTCGAAGCGACCACAATATTTCTGTGTATTATACCTTTCAAAAATCTTTGGTAATAGTCTGGAACTATGAAGGCCTGATGCAAGTACTGACATTGTTAGCTATTATTAAGCAAAAATGCTCCGGAAATGAGTCGGTGTCAAGCACGTGCCCGTAACATGGTATGTCCAGAAGTAACGCCATATCCTAGAAGGAAAGGAGAACTCGAGTTGCGGATGGCCCGCCATTTCTCAACTATGATATACAGTGGATAAACTAACACTCACATGGTGGGTGCTTGTGTTAGGACTTGGTCGTGCCAAGATGATCAGTGACACGTAAGTAAAAGACTTCCGGAAAGTGAATACTGACCCTTTATCGATCATCCAAATATGCTTCTCCCTGAAACATTTGTCCGACTTAATAATTCCCAGAACCCGCTGTAACTATCACACCTGACATTTTCTAACGGGATTGCCTGTAACCCAATAGTGCGCAAATTATTCCTGTCTGTTATTTGGGTTAGATTCTGTGCTGTTTATGCTAATACAAGTGGACAACTTTTGCTGTTCAATGAGAAATTCAACTGAGAGTGTGCACTGAGACGCTTCCACCATGGTGCACAGTACATCCCGAACAACTCGGATGCCATCTGCAAGCTTGGACACATCTTAAGTGCTTTAAAACGAATGAACAAGCTGAAGATCTGTGTGCCTATTTCCCAAATAGAGTCAGGTTTGGTTCAGCTTTAGAAAGAGCAACGTCGTTAAAGGTGGCAAAACGGAACCGAGTTTTCTTCACTTAAAGCCACTACCATTTTAGTTTGTCTTTTGGGCGATGTCACTGACTGGTAACAGTCGTTCGGTTTACAAAGATAACCTTGGCAATTTTTAATTGAAAGTTGAGCTGGCGTTGCTGATGAGGGTTGTAGCACAAAGATCGGAAACGTTAGGAGAAACCTTCTAGATGCCACGACCGAAGAAAGGGAATCATTTTAGCTGTTGCAACTTAAGATTTGATTCCTAATTCTAGCGTACAAGTCAGTAAAGAGGCATGGCTCAGGTAGAGCTGTTTATCCAAAGGCCTTGTGAGGCAGTAAATATTCCTCATTTATCGAGGATCCTGCTAAATGTGTTTGGCGGCTAAAGATATGTAAAAATTTCGCAGTGATTCTAGACCATATGACACAGGTTGGTCTTCTTAACAAAAAGAAATGTTCATCGAAACCATTGGCTGAAACATCCCACGCAATTACCTTTCTAGAACAAACCTAACCCAAATTCATGAACTATAAATTGATAACTTGACTTCTATTGGCAAGCAGTTTTTTATGTGGAGATGTATAGTGAAGACAAGATTAAATCATGTTTCAACCCAACTGGAAAATTTGCTAGAGTTCTCAAGCAAAAGTTTGGTGAATTCACTGACAAACGTCTCTAACCATCCCTCCATCGAGAGAGGGCTGCATTTTGCATTTTATGATCCTTATGTTCATTAGCCTTCTTGGCATTATTGAACCATGAATAGAAAAACAGCGATAGGTAACGAAATGTGGTTTTAAAAAAGGGTACTAGCTCGCATAATTCTGTAGATTAACACACGCTTCCCGTACGTGTTTTATTTATGTATCTACCTATTTGTTCCTTTGTCTCAGAGATTCAGAAAATACGAATATCTTATATTGCCTGTTCAGAGGAAACGGCTCTAGGGTCAGACACGAACTACCGATATCTAATTCACTTGAGTCCATAGCCTTTTATGCATGCATTCAGATTACGGAAAATCATACTTCTTTGGCATTTTATTGGTTTACTTATCGCATTTTTGAATAGGGAGACTAACCAAACCTCGAGCTGCTTGTTTTCTCAGCCACGAAAGATCCCGAGTGTATCAATCTAAGGTTGGGTAGAATCCCTGGTAGTGTTGATTCTGACTTAAGTATCACTTCAAAGCCATCAACGGAGGGCTTTGCTGTAAATACATGCAAGTTCTGACAATAGAATGAGGCGTAAAACATTAATTATGCCGAGTATCATACCTACGCACTGTAATTATCCTTCTGGTAACTTGTTTAACATAGTGCGTGCAACTGAAGTCAATAGACCTAATACCGAGCAAGGATGTGCACAACCCATTTCAAACACTTATCGTCTTCTATACTGACGTTCCGTAGTTTGCGTAGTCATTGACTTGCATTATTGACCGTGTATTCCGATCCGGAGATTAAGTGTTTTATTCTTCTCCATAAGTCTTTTGCTAATTTATAAGATGGGGTTTCCGGAAGTGAAACGATTGGTCTAAGTGGAGTTCCTTCTTTGTGCACCTTTGGTAGTCCGTAGAATTGTACAATGTTGGTATCATCGGCTTTCATTTTCTAACGTTCCTGTCTGGTTACCTCGTGTGTTGCTTGCAGTTTCTTGAGCGTCGTGTTGATTCGATTGATGATGTTTGAAGTTGGGTCATGATCGATTGGTTTGTAGGTTGTGGTGTCATTCAGCAGTTGTTTGGCCTTTTCAATGTAATCTGGCTTGTCCATTATCACCGTGATGCATCCTTTGTCCGCCGGTAGTATTACGGTTGTTTCATCCTTTTGTAGATTTGTGAGTGCGTCTCGTTCTTTTTTGGAAATCAGTTGCATGTCTCTATTCTGTGTGATCGCCGGTACGACTGTCTGTCGGATCTGTTGTTGAACCTCCTCGGACATTTCGCTTGTTTTCAGGGCATGTTCTGAGCTGGCTAGGTAATCTTTGTAAGATGCGTCTTCGACAATGAAGATGAGTCCCCTCTCAAGAAAAACAATGTGATATACTAACTCAACTGCAACGGCTGTAAAACATTCTACGTCAGACACACTGGGAGGAGAGTGTGCATACGAATAAAGGAACACAACGCGGCCGTCAAGAGGCACGACCCGCTGTCCCTGATATCCATACACGAGGACCAAGAAGGCCACAATTTCAATCTGGAAAATACAAACATTTCGGCTTACGGAGACACGAGACGCGGAAGCGAGTTTCTGGAAGCATGGTACCCCACGGCAGATTCGATCAACTGGTGCATCGAACTGGATCCAATTTACGCACACCTACGTGCAAAAGACCATCAGCTCAACCGAAACACTCACGGAGGATCGAATACTGGATTCACAAACAAAGAAACAAGGAAAACCTTGGGGACAAATCAATAAAGGTCACAAGCCGGGACTCAAAAGGACAAATGTCACTCCAGCATTGACCAGATTACGACGACAGGGGATGCCAAGCTCAAAGGTCACGTGGACGTCGGCAAATGGGAGACAGAACAACGAAGCAACCAGTGGAACCGCCCGACCGAACAACCGACCGCGATCAAAGGTCATCTCCTGCTAGCAGCACGTATATTAACGCGCGTGTAAGACTACTCAACGCACAACCACTAATCCACCGCTACGCACCACTACGCTCCTTAATAACGATGAAGTCACCTCGATTGGTGACGAAACGTTTGCAATCAAATTGCCCAGCTCAGCGAGCAAGCCAACCTCAGCGAGCAGCCAACGAACACCATCTACGCTACCTGAGCTACCGACATTTTCCTCGATATGAAATGTAATTTATTTTGTTGCGATTTTTCTCTAGATAGCATGAACAGTTCACACCTTCCTTCAGTTCTCGACACCCATGCATGAAGCCCCTTTGGTATCTAAATATCTTGTGTTTAAATTTTTGTAAAGTCAGAAAGGTCTTTCCTTATCCTTCCAGATAAATGGAACTAAAGGTGTTATCTGCGCATCTCTTCAGTTGGATTCTGGTAGGACCGTTATTTGTCGTTCATATAAAAGCGGGTGAGTCTCTGCAGCAGTTCTACGAAGGCTATTGATTCAGTTGCATCACTAGACTTTTGCTTGAGTCCTTGAATCAAATTAACACCAAAGTTTGTAAGCTAAAACTATGAACGCTGCTTCTCAGTTCCCTCAAAAATATACGGTCCTTCAAATGACTGAGAATATACATTGAAAGCAACCAACTTCCTCGTCGTGTGAGCTGAATTCTGTTGTTTTTCATTTTGCTTTATAAAAAAAACTGAAAAAAATACAAACTTGAATAATCACTGAACTGCGAGCAGATGGATGTACACATGCGGTACACTGTTGCCCTGCACTGTATTGTCTCTGTCATGGATACATAATATACAACATAATTTTGCATGTACATACTTTCCAAGATCTAAAACCTTAGATTCATCTTTAAAGTTCTTGGAATTCATTGTTATCAACCTCTGTAGTTATGTTGCACTACTTTTACCATGGCGTTCGCGAGCGTGGAGGTGTAAATGTTGCTTTGCTCCACTAAGTCAACCAGACCCCGACAGGATCATGACCTACCCGGAATTTTTAAGCTGCAAACATATGTCTGCATCACACGCAAACACATCAAATTTACCTATTAAACATGTAACGACATTCCTGAATGCTCCACAAATAATGATTGAATTAGGGTTACCGTTAGTTTGAAAGGTGGTGATGTATATCATTTCAATGTGATGTTCGCACTTTCGATTTATGGCGTAATAACCATTAGGTTTCATTTCAACAGCGTCTTAGTTATTCGCTGTTTACACCGAGGGCCACAATGAATAATAGCGTTAGGGTTGTTCAAGAAGCTTCAAAAGTACTTAGAACTTGTCACAGCAACACTATCTTGCCAGACTGCTGAGTAAACAACGGAAGTGTGTTTTGCTCATTTCTTCAAAGGATGGTATCAAAACTTGTGGTTACAAATGCACAATATTTACTACCAAGGAAATGACAATTTGATAAAACACCCAAGACGTTTAACTGCAACATGTTCGTCGTGCAGTCCCCTATATCGTTGAAGGTGCGCAAAAAAAGCATGTTATGCACATTAATAGGTGATTCATGGACGCTGAGCGCCTACTTGCTTTTTGTTTTGGCTTGATTGTATGTGCTCAGTGATTCCTGTTTGCCAATGAATGCAAGGATTACTTGTAACTGATCTGGGTTTGGCCTAAAAGTTGGCAATTTCGGATAATATTGCTATCAGTTTTATCGGTAGATTTTTGAAGTTTTTGTTTTTCATTAGGCTGACCGTAGATCTCAGCGGATGTGATAATAGAACTAAGGGATTTTTGAAAATTTGTCAAGTATAAACACAGAACATTTCATTTTATTAAATTTCATTTTTATTACTACTATATTGGTTAAACCAAGTTGCTGCTGCAGAGTTTTCATAATTTTACTCTGGAGTGGGCACCAAAAAGATAACGAAGCTAAATGGCGAAGTGCACTGGTCTACTCTGCCGTCCAAAAAGGGTTGTACGGAATCCCTGGTTTTATGCCCCGATTGTTGCTTTGACACGGTCGGCTCATTGAGTATCTTCTAATCAATTTTTTTGTCATTTGTCTCTGTGTTTTTTAACAAAAGTTTTATATGGCTTTGACATCAAATGGCATTCTTCTACTTAGTTTTGGGATGAGTGCCATTTAGGCATTCTCGAAAACCAAGCGAAATCAACCACGATTTCAAGCCGGCAGCAGTAGAGCTGAGAGTGCAGCACACAAGTCAAAAGTAGCATTCGACCCTTTAATAGGTCACGTATGCATCGGTCATGGTAGTGTTTCAACTAAATGTCCCACTTATATCAAGTTGCGCCTTCAACAGATTCCATTTTAAACACAGATTTGTGGCTTTCCAACAAAGTTGTGATTCCCGGTAACGCTATTACCTTTTTCAGGTTAATTTAACTCAAAAACTGCATCTCAATTTCACTTAAAATATGTCTTGGTATAAAACTAAGGGTCTCTTGGGAGGATTGTTGGGATGATTTGAGGTCTGACCAACGCCATTTTATACAAAATTAAGTTTACCAAAACGGCTCACAGCCTCAGTGCGCACAATCCATCGCGTTTCTTGAGCGATGGTTGTTCAACCGTAAATATGATTGATGCACGCGTTCTCTGCAAATACAGCTCACGAAATGAGATTAAATGTGAGGTGTAAGTTGGTTTGTAAAAAAGCCAAATCACTGCTAAGGGTTTGGGTTCGTAAGTAATCACTTGTGAAGGGCTTGTGTTCCTGACAGGGTATAAATAAAGGATACACGAAAAATGAGCGAAGTCAGAACAAACAAAGCTGATCCGTTTATTGGCTTGCAGAAAAATGTACTGCGTGTGGATGATCCCCTGAGGCGATCAGACACCACTGCTGGCTGACAACTTGTTTGCCATATCCTACTTTTTAAGGAAAACCGGCGCTACCGCTTTTGTCACACTCTGTGACATGCTCTTTGTTTTGCCGAAGCAGGGTCTGACGATGTTTACATTGGTCTGCCTGCTTACCTGGTTTGCACCTCTCCATTGGTCTTATTAACTGGACAGCAAGCGGCGCCTTTTGACTGACTGGCTGATCAGCGTCATCATCTACCGTGAAGGGTGCGTGCGCATTTTGTGTGAGACCACAGCACACGCGTATTATTACTTGAAAAGAGCGACTAGAAAGTTGCGAACAGGAAAAGCTAAACGAAATGTACACTCATTTATAAATCAATTCGGTTTTCACGGGAGACTCAAGTGAGTCGCTTATGATGTTCTTCAACTGAATGTGCTGCATAAAGTTCGCCTCATGTTTCAGTCGGTACGATATTTGAGATATCGCAGAATACTTTCATAAATGAAACTGCCCACGAGATTGCTGAAAACTCTCCGACCTTTAGAATAGTTTCATTGAAAAAAGATTAAGTCTTCGCGCACTAACGCTGTAATCCATTTGGCTCTTCATCTGGTATCAAAGAACCTCCATGTCGTCCCTAAGACATCTGAAAGGCCGCATGGAGACACTTTTTTTCTGGAGAGGAGCGTATTAATGTCAGCAAGACAGGAATTTGCGATTCAGTGCAGCCTTACTTGAGAAGAGTATAACTATTTCGTTTCACCCTTTAGTGAGCCGAACTCGATTCGTGAAGCACAGCTAAATGAGCCGGCTGATCATCGGTGATTGCTGCTAAAACGTGAAGTAGACCCGACTGTCTTGTTTTGTGACCAAACTTTATGTGAAAGAGCGCCCTTTTAGATACTTGCTTGATGATGATATCCTAGTTGAGCTCGCTGTATTTTACATCTGGTTTACTTAGCCACAGATTACGCGAGATACTAAGTTTGCATCCGAACCATAGACATTTAATATTAAAAGTAAATTTTCGACAATTCTGAGACTGACAAATAAAGTGAGTGCTCCACAGCTAGAGGATCGGAAGTGAACCCATGCGGGGTGTGTGCCATGAGACATTTTTCTACAGTCTCGTGCTGAAAGCGTAGAGACGGTAAGGACCGAAAGTCGGGGGATTTTACCGAAAGAGAACGTTGGGTGTCCAGAAAGAGTGTTTTAACCACTCCCCGAATCACAGTAAACACTCAGGGCCAACACATCCAGTTACTCTGAGCTCCTCTGAACTTAATCCTTGAAGACTGGGGGGAACTCAATCGGATACGGCGGCCGAGTGGTGTATTCTTGAGCTGTATTCACCCATATAGGACACCATGAAACAGTGCAAAAAGATGGAAAATAAACGATCGACTAAGATCTTGATGCAAATAGGTGGATTTTGATGAACTGGTTTTTAAATGAACGGTTATAATGTGATTCTTAGCTTTTAAACATAGATTGTCTTCATTTGCAGGACGAACTCTTCATTAGATTCCCAAAACCACCTCACACTACCACCATTCCTGGAACTAACATGTGTTATCTATGGATGGGACAAGCGGAAACTTCTTCTAGTGAGACTCATAATTTATACGTATCTCTTTATCACATTCCAGCTGAATGGTCGTATGCGGACACGTCCAAGTGGCCTAAAGATTATCCTTCTTGTTCGGGATATTACCAGTCTCCGATTGATTTAACTTACAAGGACTCGGTTTATGCCCCGCAACTCGGTCAGATCACGATAACTAATTTATCAAAAGTCGAACAAACGACCTATAAAGTGACTAACAATGGTCACACTGGTAAGTCATCCGTGCCCAACGATTATTACCTGGCCGCTGTAGTCCTGATTAAAAAAACACCACAGGGCATGCGGTGTTTAAGTGGTATGTGAAACACTTCTCTGAAACCAAATTTTTCCAATCTGTTTACGACGCCAAAATTGTTTTGATACGGTCAGCTTCTAACCGAAATTCGGAACGTTGAGTTGGATTTTTGTGCTGTGTCGAGATGAATCGATAAACTGCATAGTCGTTCGTACAGGACGTTAGAGTGTATAAACTGACTATGTTTATTTCACCAAGGGGTTATGTTACGTTGTAACAAACAATTGGCATCCGGTCCTATTGAATCCGATCACTTCGGGGGATTGTAACAATCTCCGACCACACAATGTTTAGATATCGAATTACTTGTAACGTGACACCGGTGGACATGCTACACACGGTAAGGGAGGCCTAAAATAAAAAACAATTGACTAAAGACTAATCCAGTTCTATAAAAGATCACTGTTTAATGCACTTCTTTCTCCGTACTCTCAAGTTCTTTTTCTTAGATTGTCACATCGTAAGCTGTCGTCCAGTAAGTCAGAAAATGCGCAAATTAGCTCACAGCTGATGATTATACGTTAATGCATGCAGCACTCACTATTGTTACTGTTTGCGATGAGTAGACACGAGTGCCGGATATCTGAACGGAAAAAACAGTGCTCCGCGGCTTTCATGTCTAAGGTGGGTTCTGTGCTGTCTCGCCAACATATTGTGGTACCTCACCCCACCCTAACAAAACCATCTGGATTGCCAATTCGGCAAATAGAGCCGAACCAGAGTTGTGGCTGCCCTAAAATAGGACTGGTCAAATATCGGTCAAAATTTCGGTTAGAGGATTCATGAAGTAATTCAAAGACTTCTTCAGAATACGTGGTCGGAAGGTATAAGCCAACTTTTATATGATGAGAAAATAGGATGGGGTTGTATCACACGCTTTGGTGAATGTGTTGCAAAGAAATTTGCGTTACCATTGATTTAAGTGTTGAAATTTATTTTTGGTAAGATGGTTCGTTTTTCGATAGATCTTATTTCACTGGTTATTTGAGTGACCTGGCAATGTGAATGAGTGGCGAACTTTGCATATTAGTCCTTCATTGACAAACAAATCACCGATAAAAACAGTTTTTTTTCATAAAAAACGGCGATTGTACTTCTTTTGGACCTGCCGTTTCCTGCCGTTTAAAGAGGAGTCCCAGCGTTTAGAACTTTGACGTATCTCCACACTTTGTTTGCGGTTACCAAAATGACCTTATGTGAACTCCGTAGAGATTTTCATAAAAACGAGGCTTGTCCTTCTTTTGGACCTGCCGTTTCCTGCCGTTTAAAGAGGAGTCCCAGCGTTTAGAACTTTGACGTATCTCCACACTTTGTTTGCGGTTACCAAAATGACCTTATGTGAACTCCGTAGAGACCTATTTATTTTAGGGTTGTGATGGACGGTGAATGTAATGGGCTAGCGACTGATTCACCTAATCTGATGTGGCTTTTCAAAACTAACAACTCTCGAGTCTAACGAACTGGACCCTGAAACGTCTGTATAGATTGAGGACACAGGAAAAAGTGCACACTTACCTGATGTATAGTACTGCCATACAGTACAGCTGTTGGGTTTTACAAGGATTGCGACCATATCAAATACAAACCGGCGTTCATGGTTAGCCTTTGGTAAATCGGACGGCGTGATTTTTGGTGTCGACGGTAATTAGGCTGGCCTACATGAACAACCACCCCACCTTTTATCACACTGAGCAGGAAGTCTTAACTCCTGGATCGCTTGTTACCACGCCTGTTGGTTATGCGGGGACTCGCGGTATATCCTCTGGTTGCCCTCATTTACTTAGTCCCACCGTTTTTATTAAACTTTCAATGTATTACATGGAGCAGCCGGCAGCTTTGAATCCATACAAACAGTTTGGATTATCGGGTGTATAAATTCTTCCACGCATTGTCAGTTTGTGATCATGCTTCCAACATAGAGCACTTTTGGGTCATATGAAACGTCTATTGTTTCTGATGTTAAATGAGTACTTCGTCACCTCAGACAAGCCGTTAATCCTAAGACCTATTTCAAAGTCAGCATCAGAGCATGTTTGGTCAACAGATTGTCGTCTCTTTAAAGTATCTCAGAGCAGCTACTCAGGAAAATGGGTTTGTCCCTATTGGATAAGCAGAATGTGATAACATGAATTTGCTTCCCACTAACTTTGGTGGTTTGGTTAGAAACCTTACTGCCATCTTCAAAATATGTTTTCGGTAACTCACAAAAAGAAATAGTGATTCAAGTGGAACCCAATGACGAATTTTTGCCACTCCGCCACATTTTGCGCGACAATGAAGTCAAAATATTTTATTAGGATGCAGATCTATTTTTTTGTTTGCCAGTGGAATATCCAAGTGTCTGTGTGAATTAGCACATCTAAATTACATTGCTGAATTCCGTCCATCTTGATGCCTGATACCATGATGCACCGACGATTTTAGATGCGGGACAGTGTACCGGGAAATTACAACTCGGTGGTGTCAGAGAATTCACAAACTTGAATCTCACGATTGGTGTAATCTAATATTTGTGCGCCTCTTTGACATTCTACTTGTGCAAAAGCAATATTCCTCGGAGCCAACCCAGATTACAAGCAATAGAAAATCATGAAGTAGTAAGCCAGCATCCATTCAGAGTATCCCTTCGTGTCTGAGTTCATGGGTTTGTGAGCGCAATCGGATTAGAGAATGTTCCAGACGTGTAGAATTTCCGGTTCGAGTAACTGCACTCTGCTTGTATGGCAAATGGTAATGTCAGTATGCATAGTTTAACTGCGACTTTTTTTGTCGGAAACATGAAAATAAAAATAAAATAAAAAATCACACAGGTCCATGGTCCTTGGGGAGGATACTTTTATGTAGTACCAGTATGTCGCAGGGATTTTCCCCGATCTTCCGCAGATTTCATCCCTCAGTTCATGCGACACATTCGGTTTGCCAAGTCACAACTAGAAGGTAGTTTAACTGGACTTTTTTGTCGGAAACATGAAAATAAAAATAAAATAAAAAATCACACAGGTCCATGGTCCTTGGGGAGGATACTTTTATGTAGTACCAGTATGTCGCAGGGATTTTCCCCGATCTTCCGCAGATTTCATCCCTCAGTTCATGCGACACATTCGGTTTGCCAAGTCACAACTAGAAGGTATTTATGAAGCTTACTGCAAAACAGGTTACTTGAGCATTTTTATCCATTTATCATTTACAGTAGAGGTATCGTTCAACGAAAAGCAGTGGAAAATATCTCTCGGTTCTGACGAAGACCCCTATTACCCGATTCAAATGCATTTCCATTGGGGTGGGCCTACCCGTGAAGGCTCTGAACACTTGATTGGTGATCTGCGTCACGCGATGGAAGTAAGTTTTTAGCCGCGGTTATGATTATAGTGCGATGTGCACAGAACCTACAGGTTAGGTGCTTCCAACCAACACACTGCAAAGTCAGCGCGAGGTAATATTCAGAGTTCATGTTACCATAATTTGCTGAAACCCGATTTGGCGGGCAAAAAGTGATTGCAAGTGACTGACCTAAGCACTGAGATTAATGCCAGGCCTGGCGTAATTTCGGGTGGAACAACAGTAAAACTGAAACATTGACTTAATAGGTTGGTCCTCGCCTAAACCTTTATAGGCTGCTAAGTAGTCGCAATGTGTCGATGGTCACTGACCACATTCACAGCACTGAAATGTCTTCCTGTTGTTAAGAAGAGTTGGCATTTAAAGTACTGGTCGATAAATTCTGTTTGCTTAGTTTCTATATGTTTCTTACGAATACTTGCCGAACCAGTCTTTATGAATTAAATTGTTTATGAGTCTTTTATAATGCGCAGGAGTTTTTGAATTTAATTCTTTGAATAGTGGGAAGCCAGTTTTTGGTGTCAACGGGCTGCAGCGTGATAGCAATTTTCATTCAATTACGTAAGCATATCAATTCAGTTTCATGCTTGCAAGATATGTTGAGCATTTTTTGGATTTCTTAAAGTAGGCTCATAGTCTATTGCATTTGAAATTGAAATGCAGGGTTGCAGTGGTTGGGGGGTCATTTATTCGAGTAATCCGGCCATTCTAAAAAAACAATTGCGCATGCACGGCCGTCTCACACTGCCTGTGGCAATGTCTATATCACACCAACTGACTTTTTATGGAGTATAACACCACAGTTTTACACTCCGAAAGTGAAGTAAAAGAATCTAAATATCGGGAGCGTGTAGAGTCCATAATTTGAACGCATCAGCACGCTCGGGTTTCCACAAATGTTTTCCAGTCATAATTTGGGCGATAGTATCTATATTGCATCTGTCTCTCTAGTTTTCCAATTCGTGAAACAATGGGGTCTACCCTAATCACACTAGATATCAAATCAGTTTGATATTCCGCAATCCCTCTGGATATTTATATTAAGTAATGCAAATACATTGTGCGAATGATTCATGAATCAGACGTTCATTTCCTGTAGACTCACATCGTTTGCTACAACGGGCGACTCTACAAATCTAAAGAAGAAGCTACTTCCAGTCCAAATGGTTTGGCTGTTGTTGGAATTCTGCACGAAGAGGATAAACTTGCACAAACAGAGCAGACTGAGTTTGGCAAAATGGGTGAATTTGAGACTGCATTGGCGAGTATAACAACAACTAAAGAGTCAAAAAATATTGCTGCATTCGATTTGGCCGGCCTTCTGGGTCAGGTTGACACAACACAGTACTTTCGTTACCAAGGTTCTCTGACTACGCCACCATGCACTCAAAATGTGATGTGGACAGTTTTCACGACGTTTGTCCCCGTTACACCAGCGCAGGTGAGCAGATCTGACTGTTAACTACCTTAAAGACCACAACACACTTGTGTTGTGAGGATTTTTGTCGGTAAATACCCAGTAATACTGTGTAATATTTTTGGATTGGATCAGATATTCGGTGAGCATTATATAGAAGATGAGCCCTATTGAAAATGGTTAAAGGTCGTTAAGACCATCCGTATGTGTCGCATTTTGCGTAAGATCTGTTTTCTTTTGAGCTTTTGAAATAGGATCGAGGATGACGGATTCATTCTGGCACTCCAGCTAGAACGTTCCAACTTGTAAAAAAACAAGTACTGTAAACTCAGCCCTAATTTAACTTTGCACAGCTGCACTCAAATCTAATGTGTGTTAGTTTTTAGGACTAAGTTTAGATTTACGCAACGCTACTGACCATCAGAATGGATTGAACAT